GGTGGGGGTAAGGAGGAGAGATCAACCAAAGGACTGTATGCATGCATATAAGCATAACCAATGGACACAGACACCAGGGAGGTAAGGGTATGAGCGGGGGGCCGGGGGGAGCAATGGGAGGATAAAGACACATATGTAATACCTTAATCAATAAAATTTAAAAAATAGTTTAAAAAAGATAAAAAAAATGTCAGAAAAAGCTAAGAACTATATGATTTCACTCATATGTGGGATATAAAACTGAAAATTGTGCACACAAACAGCAGTGTGGTGGTTGCCAGGGGGAGAGGAAGGGGAGGAGAGAAAAGGGTCCTAATATATGGTGACAGAAGGTTTGACCTTAGGTGCTGGGCTCACAGTGCAAAATACAGATTTTTGTAACATAGAAAGCCACACCTGAAACCTATATGATCATGTCGACCAATAAATTTAATTAGGAAAAAAAATGGTGGGGAAACAGATAAAACAATGAACAGTGGTCTGACAGACGCCATGAGAATAAAAATTCGTGCACTTGGAGGATCACCAGGTTTCACCACAATTCAATTGACCACACACTTTGTCCTTCATTGGCACCAAACTACAGAATGGGCAGCATTCATTCAAGGTTCAATAATTATGAATACCTGCCCTGGCACCACCCCCTACTCCTCCTGTACCCTGCTGCATTTCTCTTCATCACACTTACCACTATGCAACCCTTTATATCTTATTATTTTCCCCTCTTTCTTCCCTTTTTGTTTTGTTTCTTTATCCATCTCCTGTTAGAATGCAAGCCCTGACCACTAGGAGGCAGACGCTCCAACCGGTAGGTTAGCTTGCTGCTGGGGTCCGGCCAATGGGGACTGGGGTGAGAGGGCCAGACACACCCTGGAGCCCTCCCTGGGTCCCATCTGCCCGATCCGAACCCACTGGGTGAGATGGCTCCGATCACCCGCCAGGCTGAGGGACCACACCCGTGCATGAATCCGTGCACAGGGCCTCTAGTTCAATAAATATTTGCTGAATGAATTTATTCAGCATCAAATATGGGCCAGTACTATGCTATATGCAGGAAATACAATGGTGAGCAAAACAGATATGCTTTATTAAAAAGCATGCAAGTGCTCATCTTCTCACCTCTTCCACACTCACCTCAATGAAAGACAGGATCCCTGAGAATGAGACGTCCATTCCTTTTACAGTGTATGGCAGGTCAACTAGCTTCTTGCCTCTATGTGGGAGTACATGAGGCACTAAGCCTGTAGTCAGCTGGTTGCTCACCCTCCAAAGCCCCTCCCAAACCTCATTAATTATATATAAGAAAATGCCAGAAGCCCCACCAGCCAGCCTCCTTCCACCTTATGGCCCCTTACCGCTTTGCCATCTGCTCAATGTTGTAGCCTGGACTTGGGTCATTGGAAATCTAGCGGATAAAAAAGACGATGCAGTCAGATATCCAGGAAGCGTAAGAAGTGAATTTACTACTTTCTCCCTCTATTTCCATGGCTCCCCCAAAAGTCATCCACACCTTATGTTCTCTGCAGCCCAATGGCTTACCTTCAGCACTCGAGCAAAACGATCCAGACAATTACCCACAGCAATATCGATGGTTTCCCCAAAGATGCGGTAACGATGTTCTGAATATGCAATCACCTAAGGGTGATGAGGATGTCCATGAAAACCTCAAGTCTGTAAAGAGGAGTAGTTGGCTTTGGGGAACAATACAGCAGAGGAGGATCAACATGGCCACTAGAGCGTCCAATAAGAAATAGAAAGTGCTTTGCCAAACCCTGAGTGAATATTTTTTGCAGCTCTTATCTGAGAAGCTCACATATACCTTGAATATTCCCAGTGCAGATTCCTAATCTATAAAAGATGATCAGGGCAGAAGCAAACTGTCACTTCAAATACATTTTTTTAGCTTGGAGATTCCTGACATATCCCTTAAAAGCAGTCTTGACAGGGGACAGACTAAGGAACAGGCTTTCCTGCTTAAGACAGGGAACCAGAGTGCTTTTAGAGTATCCTATCAGAGCAGTACTATTTGTAAACATGAGAAGAGGTAATGGTAAAAAAACAAAACAAACAAACAAAAAAAAACACCTCAAAAATCCCATATTGGATCAGATTGATGGCTGATCCAACTCAACCCTGGCAATCAACTTATGTCCATTCTTCCTATGTGACCAACTTCTAGCACAGAAACATAGCACCCACTGACACATATGCTTCATATTTTTGGCAGTGAGTGTTTCCTTTGACCAGAGAAGTCTCTTTCCCCCTGGTGCTGCTCAGGATTTCCTTGCACTCTGATGTAGATTTTACTCTGCTGTCAAAAGGCTGGTGACAGCCTTGGCTGGGTGGCTCAGTTGGTTGGAGCGTCATCCCGAGCGGCAAAAGGTTAGGGGTTCAATTCCTGGTCAAGGCACATACCTAGGTTATGAGTTTGGTCCCCAGTGGAGACAATCGATTGACGTTTGTTTCTTTCTTTCTCTCTCCTCCCACCTCCTTCCCTCTCTAAAAATCAATAAAAACATATCCTCGGGTGAAGGTGAAAAAGAAAAAAAAAGGCTAGTGACAAAAGGGGAAGGAAATTTTCCTGCCTCTGGTTCTTCTTCCTTTTTTTTGTTACTCCTCACCCGAGGATAGTTTTCCATTTTTTAAATTTTTTTTTAGAGAGAGTGAAAGGGAGGGGGAGAGACACACACAGAGAGACACATCGATTAGCTGCCTCCTGCACCTGCCCTGATCAGGGTCAGGGATTGAGCCTGCAACAGAGGTATGTGCCTTTGACCAGGAAATGAACCCTAAGCCTCTTAACTCTTGGAAGCCTCCATTGCTACTTTCCACACCCCAAGTCCCTAACCTTGCATGTCATCCTTCAGACCTCAAACAGCTACGTGCCCTCTAACTGTTAAAGTTCTCACATTATTTTCGTGGGAATGTGTGCTTCATCTTTAATAACTATTTCACACAATGAAGTTTTAGAACATAAGCCTTTCATAGGCTGGGGACAATGACTATTTCTGACAATAACTCCACCAGGTGTTCTTTGGGGAAAAAAGTTGGAGTTCTCCAATCCCAACCTAAAAAGGTCTTATAAGGCATCCCAAACAACTATGACTTCCCCTATAAACTTAAAATATCTTCAACCATTTATAAAGTTTTTTAAAAATTACTTATATTTTTACACCCTTAAAATAACAACTTCTATATATTTCAACCAGTAATGCAAACAAAACACATAATTGTCATAAAGTAAACAAATCGTGTAGTGCCCTTTAGTTTTAATTGCTAAGATCTGTACAAAAATTAGCTTCAGAATAATGACATTGAAAATCCTTTATTTTGAGGGCTTCAATCCTTATCATTCTTTCATTTTCTAAGGAAATTCCTTATCTTTGTACATAAAAGTAATTTTATTCTGATTATCCTGCCCAAATCTGCAGTGTTACAAACTGTATTGTGGATTTTCTAATGTGCCACAGTTTAGGTTCAAATGAGCCCAGCTTTGTTCTTGTAGTCCCTGCCACTCAGGTAGAGCATGAAAGGTGCTGGTAATAGTTCCTTAGAAATTAAGAAGAAATGATGGAGCATTCTAAATACCTGTGTATTTCCTCCACTGACATACAGCACAGTTGGGCTGGTGGCTCCAGTGATGAGGCGGCCCATTTCAATGTGGCCTATACAGTGGTTCACTCCTAGCAATGGCTTATTCCACAGCTGGGCCACAGTACGGGCCACAACAGCCACAGAAACCAGTGGGGCACCCATGCCAGGGCCTAGGGAGATTGAAATGGGAGACAGAATCCTTTAGAGATTGAGGAAGCAGGAAATATGAGAGATAGGGCTGAGGTAGTGATGGTAGCAGAGGCAAACTGCAGGCTGTTTTGACATAGCCAAATTCTAGGTATATTCTTCCATTGCCCACCACTCACCCCGCCATACCTTTGGTGTAGGCAATGCAGTCAATATCCTGGGAGGTTAAGCCAGCCTCTGTTAGTGCCTCCTGCAGCAAGTCCAGAACAACAGCTCGGTGGTGCCTGGCAGTATCACCTGGAAGAAATCCTAGAACAGAAGGCAGAGATCATAGGGGTTTTTGGTAGAAAAGGTAGACAGCAATCCAAGACAGGCGATTTAGTAGTAGGACGAGTCTCTTTCACTCTTCTCAAGCATCCTGTCTTCCAGGTGCTCAGATATACTATTGCCAGTCTGTTCGGCTACCGTGGTCAGCAAACTGCGGCTTGCGAGCCACATGCGGCTCTTTGGCCCCTTGAGTGTGGCTCTTCCTAAGCCTTAGGAGTACCCTAATTAAGTTAATAACAATGTACCTACCTATATAGTATAAGTTTAAAAAATTTGGCTCTCAAAAGAAATTTTAATCGTTGTACTGTTGATATTTGGCTCTGTTGACTAATGAGTTTGCTGACCACTGGCTCATGACCACCCCCTGCAAAATGCCCTTCTTCATACCCAACTTCTTTTCAGCCTTTAGGACTCAATCCAAGTGACACCTACTTCATATCCTTTGGTGATCTTCTCTGTGACCCTACAAACCCTGTGCATGATCACAATATTGTATTTAACCATGCCCAGTATTTCATCATGAGCCTGTTTACTGTAACATCTCTGCCACAAGCATTTCCTCCACAAACGTTTTCGCAGCACAACTACTTGGCCTTAAGGCAATTGCACAGTAAAAGATAAAATAATGGAAAATAATAGAGGGGCACTGAAACATGAAACACTAATAACAATTAAAAACACTTTACTGTAAAAAATAAAAAGACATTGTCTTCTAAGTCTTTTGTTCACAGTATCTTTTTTTTTTTCTCGTTTGTTGATTTTATCTCCTTCTTTGGCATCACATTTTTCTGTTTTCGCTATAATTCTTTCTTCATTAAGAGAGGTATCAGTTTCAGCTAAAGAAATCAATCATTTTAAAAAAAATAAATATTTTTATTGCTTTCAGAGAAGAAGGGAGAGGGAAAGAGAGACAGAAACATCAATGATGATGAGAGAGAATCATTGATCAGCTGTCTCCTGTATGCCCCCTACTGGGGGATCAAGCCTGCAACCCGGGATGTGTCCTTGACAGGAATTGAACCTGGGACCCTTCAGTCCGCAGGCTGACGCTCTATCCATTGAGCCAAACCGTAACTAATGCTCTCGAAGACTGTTGTGAATTAGTAGCCGCCTCTTTTATATTTGCTATTGTTTGGTAAACTTTTGGTTTTGACGGGTGGGAGGGAAGATTGCTCACAAAGGAGTTGCAAACTGATAAATTATCATTTTCCAGTATAGTATGCAATCTGACTTTCACATAACTGTGCAATCTGGCTTATACATAGTTGTTATCATCCACTATTTGAAGATTACCATATCTACTCATCACTGTAGAGACCATTATGAGGACTATGATTTCTCTAATATAAAAATGGAAGTAACTGCAACAATTTCCTCAATGGAGAAATGAAATCAAACTGTCAACTAGCTGAAATACATTAAGTCTGCCAAATGTTAACCAAACTGTCAACCAGTTATTTTATCTTTTATAGTGAAATTGCCTTAAAGTCAATTGGGTTGTGCAGTGACAATGTTTGTGGCAAAAATACTTAGAACTGCATGTAACAATTATAGCGTTATGATTACCTGTAGCTTCCCCAGTTCAACTGTGAGCGTCTCCCAACATTGGGTCTTTAATTCATCTTTGCATTCCTGTTGCTAAAATGCCTAGAAGAGTGAGTGCTAAACGTACATATATTTCTAATGAGTAACCTGTCACAACATCACCTGCTCAGGGAGCCTTTTTGGGTACACACACGTCAGTCGCCCTCTCCTACACATATACAGGTGATTTGGGAGCGGGTAGGCATGATATAACATCATAACTTACAAATAATATTTATTAAAAGTTGTAATGTGACAGGCACTTTGATTCTCAAGACCCCACGATGCAGGCATTATTCCCATTTTAAGAATAAAGAATTCCCAAAACACATATCGACCATGAATATTGTAAAGCCAGCCAGTTCTGCCTGACCCCTATACTGGGAGTCTTTACACTCATTCTGGAACTTATTATATCTATACTAGTATGTTATACTATTTATCATAAAGTTCTGTTTACGTGTCGATGTCATAGCAGGCTCATCACATCTGCTTTCGTATGCAACTATTTTTGTCCCCAACAGCCAGCCGACTGACACTTAGCACATAAAAGGCACTCACTAAAAGCTGAACGAACCCTGACGATCCAGGGACAAGTGCCTGTGACTCACAGCCATCAGCTTTGTGACGTTAAGAAACGTCACATCATCTCAGCTTCGAATCAAAAACCCTACGGGGGGACAATGCTCTCCACGCCCCACTTCGCTAGCGTTTAGGACGATGGAACACGATGGTGGGCGGGGCAGCGCGCTGCAGACTCTTCAGGTTCCCGACTCACCCGTGCCCGGAGGCGTGACGTAAGTGCGCCGCGGGTTTGCCAGCACCGCGCCATCCCGCACCACTCCCACGCCGATCTTGTTGGCGCTGCCTTCAAAACCCAGCACAGTGGGCATGGCCGAAGCGGGGAGGACACACCCGCAGGGTCCTAGCTAACACGGCGGCCGCGGAAGCCTCGCCGCTCCGTGCGCAGAGGAACGAGCCCGCAGCAGCTCAGCGGCCGAACGCACACGGACAGGCACCTAACAACTCCGCTCGCCGCGCCGTCCCGCCCCCGTCGTCACGGCGACCCGTCAAGGCCCCTTCAGCAACCTGTCCTGCTAACTGCCAGGGACGCGGAGCCGGCATCCGCTCCTGGCACGCCTATCCGCTGCTTTGCCGCTCTCCGGGGGTCCAGCCCAGCCTTCTCCACTGATTGATTTTCTCTCTTGCGCAGCGCTGGGCCCTTCGGTCGGGGCGGCAGGAGGAGTCGTGCACCGGGCACACGGATAAACAGCCCGAGAATGGAGGGCTGGGGCCTTAGTCCCCCGGAGCCTTTGGAGAAGGGCGGGCCTAGGTTCTCCGTCACGTGGTGCCAGACAGACTAATCGCCGGCATTGCTGCGCTACGCGGTGATGCCCCAGGCCACGTGACCACGCCAGTTACCCACGTGGGGGCACGGCGTGCTCCATTCTTTGTGCTCGGGTAGGAAGGATCCCGGCGGCAACTTGAGCAGGTCAGACACCGGGTTGCTGTTCTTTCGCCCATCAGAAGGGCTTTTCTGGACGTCTGATCGGCTGGCGTAAGCCGGGACCCTTGATTAAGGCCCTCGATTGGCCGAGGGGAGATCTCGTAGGAGGGTCCATAGATCACCGTGGAAGGATCTAGTGTTGTGGGTGAGGGGCTATGGCGCAAGGAGGCGGGGAAGGGATTCTGAGATAACGCCCGCTCTCGGGAGGAGCCTTTCCCCAGCTTTAGCTGCCTTCACCATTTCTTTGCATCGTTAGGCAAGGCGGTGAAAATACTGCTCCGCAGGGCGACCTGGTGCAGGAGGGCGTGCGTTTCCGTGATGCCGAAGCGTGGGAAAAAGGGAGCGGTGGCTGAAGACGGGGAAGAGCCCAAGATTGGTAAGAGAGTGAAATGACCCCCTCTCCCTAGAGGCTGTGATGGTGGTGCTTCTAATGTATCCGATAAACGCGAAGTACGGACCGACGCACCGCATTTCTGCAGTTTGAAGAACTCGCGGCAACTGCAGGCTCTCAGCGGGCCTATAGTTAACCCCGGATGAAAGTTGGTTACCGCCAACTTTTATCACTATGTATTACTTATTTTGTAGAACCAGAGGCCAAGAAGCGTAAGTCGGGAGCAGGAGCAAAGAAAAATGAAAAAGAGGCAGCAGGAGAGGGGTCAGTCCTATATGAGGACCCCCCAGATCAGAAAACCTCGCCCAGTGGCAAATCAGCCACCCTCAAGATCTGCTCCTGGAATGTGGATGGGCTCCGAGCCTGGATTAAGAAGAAAGGATTAGATGTGAGTGGAAATCAAGGAGGGGAAAGAGACAGTCTTTGGTATTGAATGATCTTGGGGTTTAAGTACCTTTTCCCATTTTAGTACCCACCATGCAGGTTTATTTATATATTTTTTTTTATAAGGAGGGGCTGCACCAAGTCATACCATTTCCTGCCTATCCATTCCATTGCCTTAAACGTTTAATGTCTTCATCTCTTCCCCAGCATATTGAAAAAAATCTTACTGGACTTGCTCCATTTTTATCTCCTGCATATTTTGTTTTTAAATAACTAGTGCTTACACAATGCAATTCACAGATGCTATATTATATAATTGTACTATTGAAACATCTTATTGGCCAATATTACCTCAATAAATTTTAAAAACGAAATAAGTAACTAATGCTTAAAAAATCTTAGCTAGCCACTCCCTATAGAAAAAACACTATCTCCACAGGGTTGCATGTAAGCCTTCTTCCATTAGTTACCAGTTATCTAATTGCTTATTGTGCTACCAGTGGTCGGCAAACTCATTAGTCAACAGAGCCAAATATCAACAGTACTTCTTCAAAATAGACTCGCCCAGGCCAAAAACCGACTTCTGTGCATGGGCCATGAAGTTTCAATCGCACTGTATGTGCGCCTGCACGTGGTATCTTGTGGAAGAGCCACACTCAAGGGGCCAAAGAGCTGCATGTGGCTCGCGAGCCGCAGTTTGCCGACCATGGTGCTAGACTGTTAAACTCCTTGATGCACAGGGACCCTACCTCCTGTTTATCTCTAGTACTTAGCAGATTCAATAAATACATGCTGTATTGAGACTATCTTTTATACCTTTCATTTTACTCAGTGGGTAAAGGAAGAAGCCCCAGATATCCTGTGCTTGCAAGAGACCAAATGTTCAGAGAATAAACTACCAGCTGAACTTCAAGAGCTGCCTGGACTATCCCATCAGTACTGGTCTGCTCCTTCAGACAAGGAAGGGTACAGTGGTGTGGGCCTACTCTCTCGCCAGTGCCCACTCAAGGTCTCCTATGGCATTGGTGAGAGCCTACTGATTCCTAATGCCTGCGCGCTTTCAAACTAACTGCTAATACCCCACTCCAGCCCCAATTCTTGATTCCTTTATTCTCTACTTTCCCTTTGCTTATTTATACTTTCATTTTTTTAAAAAAATGTTTCCCCTTATGCTTTTTTGTACTGATACTGTTTCATTTCTCCAGGCGAGGAGGAACATGATCAGGAAGGCCGAGTGATTGTGGCTGAATATGACGCATTTGTGCTGGTAACAGCTTATGTACCTAACGCAGGCCGAGGTCTGGTACGCCTGGAGTACCGACAGCGCTGGGATGAAGCCTTTCGCAAGTTCCTGAAGGACTTGGCTTCCCGCAAGCCCCTTGTGCTGTGTGGGGACCTCAATGTGGCTCATGAAGAGATTGACCTTCGCAACCCCAAGGGAAACAAAAAGAATGCTGGCTTCACCCCACAAGAGCGGCAGGGCTTTGGGGAACTGCTGCAGGCTGTGCCACTGGCTGATAGTTTCCGGCACCTCTACCCCAACACCGCCTATGCCTATACCTTTTGGACCTATATGATGAATGCTCGATCCAAAAACGTTGGTTGGCGCCTTGATTACTTTCTGGTGTCTCATTCTCTGTTACCTGCTTTGTGTGACAGCAAGATCCGTTCCAAGGCTTTGGGCAGTGACCACTGTCCCATCACCTTATACCTAGCACTGTGATACTTCCCCCAAATCATTTTAAGCCTGGGAAATAAGCCCCTAAATTAGCTTTAAAACTTCTTTGCTTTTAAGAGAATTCTGCACTGTTACCCTTCAGCCAGGCTCCTAGTGACAGATGGGCTTCCTTTAAGCCCAAGGCTTTGTTTTTTGGTGTGGAGGGCTTTCTCTTCCTTTTTTTTACATTAAACAAGCTACTGATGACTTCCTTTGAACTGTCCATGTGAAAATAAAGAGCCATAGTTTCAGCCTTGCTGTCTTTGTATTCTACCCCTCTGTGGAGCTACAAATTCCCCTCCTCATTTTTGTCTTACATACAGATTAACAATTAGAAAAGGGCAGAGTCATGACCTTATTTATTTACAAGCACAGGATGAGTCCTTAACCTCCCCCAACACAGCAACCCTACCTAGCCCAGTGAAATACTACTGCTGGGGGATAAGGTTGGCAGGAGGAATTAAGGGTAACACAGGACTAGGGGAACATACCCCATAATTAAATAGTTATATACACATCAGTTCCTGTGGTTCTGTACAAAGCAGCGGTTAGCCCCACCCCCACAGGACATGGAATGGGGAGAGAAGAGACTGGGGACTGAGGCCAGAGCCAGTCCCTGGTGAAGTGCAATAGCAGCAAGGTCCTAATGGTGCACAAGAGGGAGGGAAACCCCCAGGGCAACCCACCCCAACCCTGCCCTGGAATGTATAAGGGACAGGAATGGCTCAGGGAGCATACAGGAAGGACAAGGCTAGACCATCTCTTTAAGATCCAGGTTTAGGAGCAACATTTCCCCTATTTCACCCTAAGTACAGCAATCTGGGAGGAAAGCAGATGGCCTGCAGCAGTCTTATCTACTCCTCCAAACTTAGGTGAGGGCCTGGTTCCTTCCTACTCCCCAGGGAAAAGGAAGGCAGCTGCTTGGCTCCTCTTAGAGAAGCCCAAGGGAGCCTTTTGTCTTGGCTCCCTTTGTAGTGTCACTGTCCCCACCAGGGAGGGGCCAGGCACAGTCTGTGGGTCATCCTGTGGCTCAGGAGAAGTTCTGGACAGGGTGGCTGACCTTCATACAGGCCCAATAGAGGGCCCGCCCTAAACACAGAACAGCCAACAGGATGGCAAATGCCCAGGCTGCATAGATGCCTCCATATCGCCGTGCTTGCTTCCATGTCCCAAACTGACAAAGAAAAAGAAAGAATGATGGGGTTACTGTGATCTCTCACCACCTTCTAGCAGCCCTAATAACAGTAACACAAGCTTCAATCCCTGTTCCCTATCCATGTGCAGCCACCTTCAGGGACCTGCTTAAGGTCCCAGTTCAGTTTCCTTCCCCTAGGCAGGAATATACTCACACAATCCCAAACATCTGCCAGTTTTTCTTAATGTCTTACAATTGCACCAGATTTCCTATATAGCAACTTCTAACTTAAGCCACTTCTCCACTGTCCTATTCTCTGCATAAAGAAGATGGCGGGCCCGGCCAGTGTGGCTCAATGGTTGAGCACTGTCCTATGAACCAGGAGGTCACGGTTCAATTCCTGGTCAGGGCACATGCCCGGGAAATTGTGGGCTCAATCCCTAGTGTGGGGTGTGCAGGAGACAGCTGATTGATGATTTTCTCTCATTATTGATGTTTCACTCTCTCCCTCTCCTCTCTGAAATCAATAAAAATGTATTTTTTAAAAAGAAGATGGCTGTTCTTTACTCCTATAGTAACGAGCACGAATATTATTCAGTCACCTCAACTTCAGCTCATCTATACATTAAAACACAAACACAACACCCTTGATTTCTTTTCCCTTTTTTTTTTTTTTTTAGGTTAGCCATTCCCAAATCTTAGCCTACAGCAGTGATGGCAAACCTATGACACGCGTGTCAGAGGTGACACACGAACTCACTTTTTTGGTTGATTTTTCTTGTTAAATGGCATTTAAATATATAAAATAAATATCAAAAATATTAATCTTTGTTTTACTATGGTTGCAAAGATCAAAAAATTTCTATATGTGACACGGCACCAGAGTTAAGTTAGGGTTTTTCAAAATGCTGACACGCCGAGCTCAAAAGGTTCGCCATCACTGGCCTACAGAGATGAGGCTGAAGAATAAAAGGGGTTGGATCACAGTTACTCACAGCAAGGCCAGTGGCAGTGACTGCCAAGAGTAAACCAAGCAAGAAGCAGCAGACACATCTCTTCCGCGGATATCTGCGCCCAATTGATGACCTGTGGGGAGGCAAACAGAAATGGATGTTTGAAATGTTCCTGTAATTTTTACTCTAGCCCTTATCCGATTACCAGCTCAAGGATGCTACTCAGAATCACTTACACTTTCCTGCAGTGAGGACAACGGGCCAAGGTTCGGTCTGTGAA